TCGTCCTCTACGTCTCTAACTAACTACTACCTACGTACTTACTTCTTCGTCCTCTCTCTCACACACACCACTACTTCTTCTTCTCTCTCTCTCTCTCTCTCTCTCTCTCTCTCTCTCTCTCTCTCTCTCTCTCTCCCCCTCTTTTTTTCTTTCTCTATCTCTCTCTCTCTCTCTCTCTCTCTCTTTCTCTCGCTCCCTGTCTCTCTCTTATCTCACTTCTCCATTTCACCTCATTCTATTTGCTTAAGTTGTACTTCTTTGAAGGACAACTGTTTATTTCGAGCCGACAAAATAAATACTTAGGGAGACGGCGCGATAAGAATGCGTCGACAGACTTCCGCTCCTCCGTATTTATTTTAAATATCGGAATCGGAAGATCCGGCTGCTGTGACTAATAAACAGGGTTGCCTATCGTCTGGCTGCCTCTGATTAACACAGACGCTGCTTGCCGCATCCACTGCGCAGCATCCGTATCATGCATAGAGAGACAGAGAGCCGCATCCACTGCGCAGCAACCGTATTATGCATAGAGAGACAGAGAGCCGCATCCACTGCGCAGCATCCGTATTATCGAGAGTAAGATAATAACCTTCCTTATTATCTTACTCTTGGTATCATACATAGAGAGACAGGGCTTCAGCAGTGAATGCAGCATTCCTTCCCCTTCACGCCGTGGAGAAGTCGGCACGTATCTCCTATATATTCCTATCCAGCACGAAACATCTTCCCATCCACACGCACGCACACACACACACGCACACGCGCACACACACACACGCGCACACACACACAGGCGCACACACACACGCACACGCGCACACACACGCGCGCGCACACACACGCGCGCGCACACACACGCGCGCGCACACACACGCACGCGCGCACACAGACGCACGCGCGCACACAGACACAGGCGCACACACACGCGCGCACGCACACACACACACGCACACACACACACACGCGCGCACACAGACACAGGCGCACACACACACACACGCACACGCGCACACACACGCGCGCGCACACAGACGCACGCGCGCACACCGACACAGGCGCACACACACACACATGTAGGGAAGCGGCAGGTGTAAGAAAGCGCAGCTTCTCTACACCTGGCGTCTCCACCCGCGGCTTCTCTACACCTGGCTTCTCCATACGTGGGCGCACTTTGCTAATTTCCCGGGGGTCTGATTCAGCCTCGCCGCGCGGTGGAGGCCACTAATATAACCACAATTAATACGTGACGCTCGCGCGCGATGCTCGGCCCAATTAGCCTAGATAACTTTATGGGCTTGTTGACAGCAAATTCGCAGGAACAACTAGACTCGGCTCTCATCCTTTCGATAGCATAGTCCAGTTTTTCGCCTAGCTCCTACACCCTATTCCAGCTATACCTCTCCGCCCTACCGTCGACCTTACACCTCCACCCCGCCGAGCGTCTCCGTGAACCTCCTCTATAAGGTACGAAATTACTGATATTCGGTTACGATTCTGTGTGTATGTAGACATCTGTGTAGTATCGTGAGTTGCGTTTCTCTAGATGTTAAAGTAGTCTGTGGTATAATAGAACGAACGAAGAGTAGCTTTATAATACTGTGTTCGTGTTATCTATCTGTGTTACCTATCGTGGACTCTATATCGACGCAACCTGTTACTACCCCTATAAGAAACGGGTGCCACTAGCGCACTCACTAAACCGTAGAGCCTGCGGAGCGGGGAGCAAATCCCTTGCTTAGACACACGCACACGCGCACACAGACGCACGCGCGCACACAGACACAGGCGCGCACACACACACGTACACGCGCACACACACACGCGCGCACACAGACGCACGCGCGCACATAGACGCACGCGCACACACACGCGCACACACATACACACACGCGCACACAGACACGCAGGCGCACACTCACGTACATACACGCACGCAAACGCACACACACACACACGCAAGCACGCACGAACACACACACACGCGCGCGCGCGCACACACACACACACGTACGCGCGCAGCACAGCTATGGCTTTGCTCGTTAAAGGTCACCCGACAGCAGCCGGGGCGGAAGAGCAATCTCATCAACAGCAGCTGCTGAGTGGATGAAGGCTGCTACATGCCGCTACATGTTCTCGCTACAAACACACGGAGGACATGATGCGTCATGCGCGATCCCCGTAAACACGTTGTTGTTGAACGCGCGCGCTTGCGTGCGTTGCTGCGTGTGTGCGTTGGTGCGTGTGTAGGTGGGTGCGTTTCTGTGTGTGCGCATGCGTTGGTGCATGTGTGCGTTGGCGCGTGTGTGGTTCGGTGCATTGGTGCGTGTGTGGGTGGGTGCGTTGGTGCGGGTGTGGGTGAGTGTGTGGGTGGGCGCGTGCGTGCTTCAGAGCGTGTGTCGGTGCGTACTTCAGAGCGTGTGTGTATGCGTGCGTGCGGTTTACGGTGCAGTTTATTACGCACATATACGCATAATACCAAGAGCTAATAGATCGCAGTTAGTTTTCAACGCAAAACCTACACAGCTGTTCACGCGATAAATCATAGCTTAGCGCAATGCATGCACAAGCATTAACGCGATCCTATGACACGATATCGTACACACACGCGCGTACGGAGGTTTCCCCGGGCGTAGAGAGAGAGAGAGAGAGAGAGAGAGAGAGAGAGAGAGAGGAGAGAGAGAGAGAGAGAGAGAGAGAGAGAGAGAGAGAGAGAGAGGGGAGAGAGAGAGAGAGAGAGAGAGAGAGAGAGAGAGAGAGAGAGAGAGGAGATGGAGAGAGCCGCGGGG